TGAAACAAATTACACTTTACTCTTGTATTGTCATAAACATATAGACGTAACTATGTTTAATCTAAAATCCATCCTTATTGTTTTATTCAGCAAACAAAATGAGTGGCATTTAGTATCCATAAGAATGTCCTATATTAACTTTAAGCTTTGTAAGAATGTTGTTACCTCCTTGTGATGTCATGAAGTGGTAGGCACCTTTTAGTATCTATAGTTCGGTAGAGTTTGGCAATTTTAGGTTTGAAATTACCCAAATGACTCTAGTGATGGTGTGTGAAGTTTAAAAACACAGTGGAACACTTCCTGTATTACCACATAAAATCACAGGGTGGAGTGTTTTCTGTTATGAGAGAAGCCTAAATATGCAATTTGCGAGTTAAACGTGTGAATGAAACAAAACTCCAGGTTCACTTTTGATGAGGGAACAACATTATAAGAAAAAAAATAATGTAATATGAGCTTTTTAAATAAAATTATTCAACTTTTGGTCGCTTGTGTCAGCTTAACACTGTTCTGAAAAAAAATAAAGAAAAATAAAAAATTACTTCAATGAGTTCATAATGCAAGCTAACCGTACCATCCAAACACTAAGCTAGTTAGCATAGGCAGCTAACAAAAATTAAAGGTTGTATAGAGGATTATTTTAAGGGAAGTGAAATACAACGACAGTCCTTTTTGGTGCATGCGTGACACCACCTTCCTCCTCCACAGCTCCCTCAGTAGAAACATCTCCTCCCACCTCTTTACTCTAGAAATCACGCTTGTTTACAGCCAGTGCGCGTTCAGAATTACTGTTGAAGTGACCTGTCCAGAAATGTTTTAGCGATCGACGCGTCAGTTTTTAGACACTTCATTTGCTTCAGTCGCCCAATCGCTGGAAGGAATCTCCTAGAATCACCTCAGATTGGCTTCGATCCTTTTCCCTTTCTCTTCTTCTTTCAGCGACCTCAAAAACGGACTTTCTTTTGCGGCGAACTGGTCGTGGATTTGCACCTTCCATCTCAACAAACTTTGTGCGAATTGCGAGGAAGCTACAGTTTGAAAAATCCTCTAAGAACCGCTGCATAAACCACGTAATCCCCACACGCCGTTGAGTCAGTTACACTAGAAACGTAGGGAGTTTGATTGACAGCCAATAGATAAAGAGGGAGCCTCGTTATCTATTGGCTGATGTTTATCTGTTCTCACTACGTCCACAGTTGATAGATTTTCATTCTTTTTTTTTTTTTTTTTTTTTTTTTTTTGGTCATCATAGGCTGCTGCGTCTCTGTAATGGTATTTTAAACTTTCAATGACAATTTGAAACGAAAAAAATAAAAAATCCTCCATACAACCTTTAACAACAAGTGGTGTACTCTAGCTAGCCTAACTGTATACAAAAACATGATCAATTAAACCCATTAACTTACTTACAAGAAATATTTTTCTATGTCGTCAAAGACACTTACCCCCTACAAAAAACAACACAAAAAGAGAAACTTCAGTGTTGCTCAATGCGCCCATGTCCTGGACTGTTCTAAAACATAGAAGTAGCGTTGCTAGGATACCACGATTACGCTCATTTTACTTTCTCTAGCTTTTTTAAAGTTAGTTATTCCTAATTAGTTATTCCTAATAAACTCCTATTCTAATTTGTAGTTTTAGTTAATCATGTGTGTTTTCCTGTGTTTCTTTTTCCTTTTTTTCCCTATGTTCCCCCAACAACAGATGATCATGATGAACGGTAGAAAAGTTTTCAGACTCCCCTCTTACAGGAGGCTGCAGCTGAGTGTAAACTGACACCACAAACTTACAGGAGACGTGAGCGGCGCACGGTGCAGCAGAGTTTAGGTCTGGAGCATTTTGAGAGAGCACGCCTTCAGTCCTGTGTTTGTAGACTTACATGTGGCCAATCTTCGCGGGACCAACATCTGGCTGAGAGGGATGTAGCTGCTGCCCCTGCACTGGACTGGAGAACAAGAGACCCGTGTCTGAGGAAATCAGGGGAAAATAGGCTGCAGTAAGTATGTGAATATTTGCTTTGACATATTACATATTTTTTGCTAGTGTATCCAAAAAAGTAGTTTACAGTAAAGTTTTGTACTTTTTGCAAATCCTGTCTGTGCACAACAGCAAGTGCAAATAGACTTTTTCCCATTCATTTATTCAAGTATTTTGGATAGAAAAGTTGTTAAGTTCACAATCAGGTGTTTTATACAAAGATTTTCTGACAGGGCTCCATTTCTCTTTAAATGCATGTAGTCTTCAGTGAAGTCTCTTGTGTGAGGTGGTCACACAGCAGGTAATAAAACTTTCATTCCAGGTTTATTTTGTCTGGAAGATGGCGAGGAAAAGCCACAGGGTAACAGTAACTTAAAGACGTGCCCCAAATGTTCAACTCAATCCACGCATTGTCTTATCTCTAACATACTGAGAACTGAGATTTTGGACACATGTTGCAAGATATGTCTGGGAGTGAACCACCGTGTGAACTTGTTACTTCTGACATCCAAGCATTGTCAGTCTGGAAATTATAAATAAATACTTTTTTTCATGCAGCAGTGCACAAAAATAGTCATCAATCTCACTTGTGTCAACATTTTTCAGGTAGGCTGGGCTGTAATTTTTAGCCATTCTCCATAATCGCCAGCTTGGCTGTGAAGACGTTCCAGTTTATTGGGACGGCAATTAAAGGCTGTGAAATACAACTGAAGCAAATCTGACTTTATAGACATTAAATTAAATGAGGTGAGAAACCAAAGATACATGCTCGGGCCTGTGTCTGTTCCTATGTGTTTACAGACAGACCCTACCCTCTGCAGCAGCATAAAGCGGCTAGTGTCTGGGAGCGAGGCCACTGTATGACCTTTGCCTTCTCTTCCCAGCAGAACCGTCCTGTAGCAGAGGTGTGAATTTTGCACCTGGATGTTTTGTTAGAGACAGAGGCTCTTATGCCCTACTGGTCAACCCCGGTAAACCCCGCTCAAAGTTGACAGGCAGCCCCCTCTCCAATGTCCCTGTCTCCATCATGTATAACAAAAGAGTCCTTCTTCCTACATGCCATCACTGTCAGACAGGGGGCCTTGGACATCTCCACTGTTGGGTCCAGAAACAGAGGTGTGCTACATTCACACTGATGTCAAAACTACCCGGATCAGATCAGATAGTGTCACATCATATGTCAGTGTAAACAGGACACTCCAAACTTGGTCTGACCTGTCACAGATACAGACCACTTAAACACACCAGATAAATATAAGGTTTCATGGAATAACTTGAATACGCACAAAACCACCTTTGTCACTAAATAAAACTAAATATCTTCTGTTAATAATCTGTTATTACCTCTGTGAGTGTGTATTGAAAAAAGCTATTGAATTATTTATTGATGTCATGATATTATATACTTACTTGTGACAACCCTTCACACTATATTTCATAAAATTTTATTCATTCTAATAATGTGGACCTGCTTTCATTTCATTTATATCTTAGCTCTAATTTAGTTGCTTTAATTGCTGACCCAGGTGGTCTAGTCTAGTGCTAGTTTACAGATCTTTAGAACCTAACTCATATGTTCAAGATTAAGCTCAACTTACCCTGTACTTAATTTAGTACATGTAAAATGCACACGAGTTTCCTCTCCTAGAGTTCCACGGCATGTCCGACTTCCTCTGTCTTCACGCTGTTTGGGATTTATAATGGCCTTGTTGTTCATTATCTACAGTTGTTCACGAAGAGCAGGCTCAGTATAAAACTGTACTGTACTTGGCAGCTGTGATGCTGCCAGTCTGGATCCCAAACATCTGTTCACCAGGTGTGATTTTACCTACCTGATTATGATACAAGCGATGCTATGACAACGAACGCTGTGTGAGCGCCACCGCTAAAAGACTGGAGAGAAGTTACATCTGTCTCATTAGTATATTCATTAGAAGGGTCCAACACATTTGTGAAAATCTAAATCTGTTATATTATTTCATATTTTATGATAACTGGTTGGTGAGATATACTGTAACATTAAGTCTTAGTTTCTATTGTCAATTTAGAATTGTCCCTATGTCTTAGAGCAAGCATTGACCCACAGCTAATGTTGTCATAACTCAACTTGATTAGCTGCAAATATTACAGACCAAGCATGTGTCCACATGGGGCTAAAGCTTCACAATGGAGCCTGCTTTGGGAGCAGAACAAATGAGCCATGCAGGTACCAGGAGACCGGCTCTGGGCTGTTACTGTGGCTCTTATTAAACCCAAGTCTGCCGTCAGTCACTCTAATCCCTTTGATTAATGAGGTTGTCGTTGGGGTACAGTCACAGAAGCATGAGTGTAAAATGGGCTTTCGTGGCATAACATGTGTTAAGGTTTAAAGGTTTTTGAGCTGTTGGGTCAGAAATAATCATACATCTATCTGAGTGGGATTTGGGAATACTCTGTGAAAGACTGCAGATCATAACTTCTTTTTTTTCTTTATTTTAAAATACAACAAAATGTTCACACTTTATCCCTTATCCTTTTAAGAGTTACCTATACTTGCGCTGAATATCATGTTAAACCCATTAAGTGTATGTTTTCTGAAGACTGAACATCATATAGCAAGAAGATGGTTAATAATGTGTATTTGACAAATACCATGAAAGTTGCACTATGTGACTTTTTTGGTGGAGAATCTGCAACCTGCTTGTCACCATAGTGATGTTATTGGCATTAAATTATTCTAGGGCTATTTCTATGAAGGCAAGCAGATGACACCACCCAGTAAAATGCATGTTTCTGTAGTTATTTGTAGTAATAATATACTTGATGATAGCTGTAATTGATGATAGTTCAGTTAAATGCCAAACTGCCGTACGTTACATTCCAGGTGAACCAATAATAACTCTATGGAGACAAGAAGGTGGCATACCCTACACTAGAAAAGTCGCATAGGGTGCCTTTACAGCATTGGCCTACCAAAAGTTGAATCTGTACTTACCTGTCTGAAGTTTTGAGTTGAATGTTTGTACTTTTACAGGAGCTGAATCATGGAGAGTGAAGTGGAAGTGAGTGTTGACAGAGCCGAGAGCCCGAGGCCGCTGACAGGACTGGGGATGAGCTGTGCTGTGGGCCAAAGATTCAAGTACAATGGTCCAGGCCTTACTAGCCCTCAGGAGTACAACCAGTGGCTCCCCTTTCGACATGATGCCAGTCTGCTGCCCATGAAGGAAGATCTGGCTCTGTGGCTCAACACTACCCTGGGTAAGGAGAGATATTAATACTACTTATTGATACTTTACAGTGACATCACAATGGGGCTGTTCCATATGTATGTGTATGGTGGATTGCAGAAAAACTCCATTCCATTCCATTTTCTTCCGCTTATCCGGGGTCGGGTCACGGGGGCAGCAATCTGAGAAGGGCCTCCGAGCCTTCCCTCTCCACACACACTTCCTCCAGCTTTTCCGGGGGGATCCCGAGACGTTCCCAGGCAAGCCGAGAGAATAGTCCCTGCAGCGTGTCCTAGGTCTTCCCCGGAGCCTCCTCCCGGTGGGACATGCCCAGAACACCTCCCGAGGGAGGTGTCCAGGAGGCATCCGGAACAGATGCCCGAGCCACCTCAGCTGACTCCTCTCAACGTTAAAGAGCAGCGGCTCTACTCCGAGCTCCTCCTGTGTGACTGAGCTCCTCACCCTATCTCTAAAGGAGCGCCCAGCCACCCTGCAGAGGAAACAAATTTTGGGCTGCTTGTATCCGTGATCTCGTCCTTTCGGTCATTACCCAAAGCTCATGACCACAGGTGAGGGTGGGAACGTAGACTGACCGGTAAATTGAGAGCTTCGCCTTTCGGCTAAGCTCCCTCTTCACCACATTGGTCTGATACAGCGACCGCATTACTGCAGATGCTGCACCGATCTGCCTGTCAATCTCACACTCCATCCTCCCCTCACTCGTGAACAAGACCCCGAGATACTTGAACTCCTCCACTTGAGGCAGGGACTTTCCACCCACCCGGAGAGGGCAGGCCACCTTTTTCCAGTCGGGAACCATGGCCTTGGATTTGAAAGAGCTTATCTTCATCCCAGCTGCCTCACACTCGTCTGCAAACTGTCCCAGTGCATGTTGTAGGTCTTGGTTTGATGAAGCCATCAGGACAACATCATCTGCAAACATCATCTGCAAGCTGCTGTTTGTTTGCAGAAAAACTGGAACTGTAAATAACTGTAATGTTATTTGAGGGACTTGTTTAACGCTTCATCTGTTGCAACTCCTACCAAGTCAGTTCTTTCTGGACAGATTGTGTAAAAGTAAAAATGAAATTAAAGTCTAACCTCACAGTTCGCATCACACCCTCAGGGAGTGTCAGTACTTTTACTACTTTCATATCTACTTCTGCAATAGCAAAATAAGTTGTTTCATCCTGGTAATTTTTTTGGACACTTTTCTTGTCACTGAAATAAGCAAATGTATTATGCTATTTAGACTTTTTAAAAATCGCAAACCACCACAGCCAATTACAAAATAAGCCCCTTAAGATGTCTCGCCATCTCGTTTTCAAGGGGACCTCATAGTCACAATGAGAAATACAAATTATTATAAAGTTGGACTATTTGATAATGGGAAAAATGTAAGTCACAATTCTTTAAAACAATGATTTATCATTCATTTTCTGTGTAAAATGTCAAATGTTAGTCTGCACAGGACAAATACACTTCATCAAAGGGCCCATATTATCCTATTTTCTGATCTATGTTATAATGCTGTTTCCTCATCTGAGTTCTTTTATTAAACTGAATATACCCTGGTCCAACTTGTGGTGTCATGTAGTAATATAGGAAGTGGTGCACAATGTTTTTAAACTTTGTACACCTTTGCTAAACTCATTTGGATCATTTCAGCCTTGGAATTGCCAGTGTCTACTGAACAAAAGGTAAGAGGTAGCCGTTAACTTGAAAACTTCACTACATGATGTCAAAAGGTGGAATTGAGCATTTTGAGCGATGGAGATGTAGACAGACTAATAACAAAGGATTACTCAAACATATGTGAATGGAAATAAACTCAACTCCAGGTATGTGTGGCTCTAGGAGAACAACAACAAGCTCAAGGCCCATATTACTCAAAACAGAAAACTATACTATTTTTCTCCATCGCACTAATTTATTAAATTGTATTTTTAAATGCAGGATTAAATGCAAATTCCAAATCAATATGAACTTATTTTGTTCATGTCTCAAGCTAAACAGGAACTCGCTGGGGCTTTTATGTTGAAAAGTCAAAAGCTGCAGTCAGATGAGGCACAGAGGCACATTAACCTACTTATTATCCTGGAGCTTTGAAATGCACGTCCCCAGCAGAGCTCTTGGGACTTCACGTAAAGGGGATGTTCCTGCACCACTTTAGTGCCTTGAGAGGTTAAACCTAAGTGGCGGTTACATGCCTGGACCCGTGCATGGAGTGACAAGGTTTTAAGATGTCGACATTCTGACTGATTGTTTGTTTTTACAATCACAATTATTTCCAGACAGCTTGTACATCATAGAGAACTGGGGATTTAACAATATGGGAGGTGATCGCTTTATAAAAAATTGCAAAGAAATGAAATGTTTGCGCACACTTGTTTTGGTGTTTTGAAGTTCTTATCTTGACATTCCTGTGGCTTTGTGGTATTTTATGTAATTTTGTGTTGGTATCTATAAATGAAAATCAGTTAATCAATCGATTACATGGTGTAATATAAAAAATGCTTTACATCACAGTTATATAAGTATGTGGCCTATATTTTAAACTATTAAAAATTACCTCAAAATGAGACTGAAGGCCTAGTATAATCTCTGAAACAATGGTACTGATACTTTGCAGCTGATGTCATCAATGTTTCCTGGGTTTGTGATGCTAAGTAGAGGCTCTGCTCTGTTTGAGGCTCTGTTACACTGAATCTGAACTTTATTTTAACGCAGTGTGACCAGAAACAGCTGATTTAGTTAGAACTACAAAACATGAGATCATTTGTGGTATTAACAAGTCTCTCTAAAATAACATTACACTCACAAGATAGCTAGCATTAGAGACCAGTTTTTCAATTAGCTCGTATTGACCACAGGTTCCTGAAAATTATTTGTTTAAATCTATTTTTAAGTCAGTTTTTTGTCAGTTTTTGCTAATTTGTGCATTGATTCTCAATGGGAACTTCTGAACATTCTGCCAATAGAGATACATGTAGAAAACCCCCAGTGTGATGTCACTGTAAAGTATCAATAAAATGATATTTCTGCCCTTTTTTATGTTAATGTTTTGCACTGGACTTGAAGCCAGGTCAGATGGATTCTCATGAGTCTGGCTATTAACCACTGTTACATGCATTATTGTGTATGAAAAAGTTCAAGTTTGCATGTTCAATAAATGCTGCTAAACTACATTCAGTATATCAATTTGAATATGTCTGTTGTCCACAGGTGTGGATCTGACAGCAGATAACTTCATGGACCGTCTGGACAATGGAGTTATCCTGTGTCAGCTCGCACAGATGCTACAGGACAAGATGATGCAGGCAAACAACAGCAAGGTATGATCTTTTAATACCTCAGTGAGAATTCCAACGATAACTGCTGTGTGTTAGTGTTGCATACCAGACAAGTAATTCTGCTATAGCCATAATACCCTGTTATGCCCCTAAACAGGTAAACAAATGCTTAACCACTGTAACTCAAGAATGTGAGGACTACCTTTATATATAATAGACATCCACAAAGAGTGAACAGGGGTTTCAGATTGAGCCATTTTAGTTTGTGGCCATGGTATAAACACATCAAACAACTTGTATTTGTGTGTTATTCAGTTTTAACACACTTTGCAGAGGAACACATGCAGCGTAATGCACGTTTCTTCATTGTTTAAAGGGCCTATATTATGTCATCTTTTGGTGGCATGCCTGGAGATTGTTTCATTCACACGTTTAACACATAAACCCTGCAAATTTAGGCTGAGTTCTTTTGTCAAACAGAAAACTCTCTATTCCACCTTGTGACGTCATGTTGTAATAGAGGAAGTGCTCCACTGTGGTTTTAAACTCCATTCACCTTCACTAGAATCATTTGGATAATTTCAACCCTGGTAATTTCAAATCTCTACTGAAGAAAAGGTAAAAGGGGCTGTTAAACTACTTCTTCATGACATCACAAGGTGGAACAGACTAATAACTAAAGAGTTACTCAAATGTGTAAATGAAACAAGACACAGTTGCAGGTATGTATTTGAAGAGATAACAACATTTTAACATTAACCTTTAAGGCTCACACATTTTTGTGTTTTTGTCTGTTTTTTTTTTTGTCTTTTTAACTTTTTTTCATCCGACACTGAATTGGTGGGCTTCAGTCTGCTCATATAAATGACAAGTAGAGGTGAAGCGTGTGATCTGTTTTACACAGAACATATCTGTTGACGTCACAGTGAGGCCAGCAGAGACAGGAGAGGCTCAGAACATGAACCAGGTCAGGGCAGGGGACATTGGATTGAGCTTTGTCTAAATCCTTTCATGTTCCTCTGTAAAGCTGCACTCAGTCCACATTGTGTCTGATAAGTCTCCCCCATGTGTGCTAAAATCAAACCTGCTTTGTGTTAACATGAATATAATATGAATGCTCACCCCAGTCTGTCCTGCAGTTTCCCACAGCACAGATAAATGACAGGGCTGGGTAATTAATCAAATTTGAATCAACTTGAGATCTATTTGTTTGAGGATTTCTATTACTGACTTTGTGTGGTTTAACTGACAGCTCATCAGACAGTCTTGTGACATTAAAGTTAATGTTAGTTTGGAGTTTTGAGAACTACACTGAATATTTTTTTGTGTTAAATGTCAGTGAAGTGGCAAAAATGTATTTGTTATTTAAAGCAACACCATTTAACTTTCTAGAGGCACACCACCTGCAAAATTACATTCTCCTTGAAGAAAGATTAAAGCATACTGTGAAATATTACAGCCAAAGTAACAACATTTCCAAGGAACAATATGAAGACAAGGAGAAAGAGGATCAACCAGGATGTTTTCAATGAAAACTCTTCTTTTTTTGTTTTTATTTTAGCCTGTATTTGTCTTAAATGTTGAGTGGTAAGGCTTTAAGTTAAGGTTTTATTTTAAAGTGCTGCCTTTTCTTTGTTCATGGACCTTATTATTTATTCATATTTATTTGCTTTTTGTAAGAGACCACTGAATTAAAAATTGAGAACAATCAATATGAGGGAAAAATTGTACAATTCATTTGATGAAAAAATTTACATTTTTGATCACATCATATTTGATAGGTCATAGTTTATAAGTTATACATAGGTATTGTGAACATCCCTTTGTCTTCCTACATCCACAGCACTTCATCAGGAGGGTCATCCACTGGAGATCAGACGCAACCTCCGGGTCATTTTTTGCCAGAGACAACACAGCCAACTTCCTGTACTGGTGTCGCAAAATTGGTGTGGATGAAGCCTATCTGTTTGAGTCTGAGGATTTGGGTAAGTTAAGACTTGATGCACATTACATTTCAGGGTAAATTTGGCATCTCATATGAATAAAAATAAGGTTATAATATAATATGCTAACAGTATAGTCAAGTAAACCTTGTGTGTTTCTCCTCTCCTTTTGTTGGAGCAGCCATAAAGGATGGCCCACCCAGGTGAATATTCTACAGTAATTCTAAAGTACAATGTTTTAAAGGCCCTGTACATGATTTTGAACTATGAGCGAGAAACATGAACTTCTCCTATGCAAATGTCACACCCTGATAGAGAAAACTGTCAGGGGTGGTAGCAATATGTTGTTTCAGTGTGGTTCTTATCAAACAATATGCTGAAAAGATCAATATGGGACATTGTGCCTGGTCACTGCTTTATGATTCTCATCCAATAAATTTGTCTATCAATTAAAAAGCACAGATGTCATACTGTCTCATTAACTCCTATATTTGAGATGAGATGCTATCACAATACAACACAAGGTGCAAAGGGCTTAATCTGAACTAGAAGTGATAACATTTGGGTACAGGACTTTAAATACATTAAAACTGCTGAAGCAAAGTTAGAAAAATATTTCAAAGTTAGAGGCAAAGTTTGAAAAATACTATTCAGTGCTGTTAGAGAAATTCTGTGATGTACTGAGCTGACAGTGAAAGCCCTCAGTACGGCACAGAAAAAAGAGCCCTCAATACAGCACAGGAGTGGAATTTATCTTACAAGTACAAGTAAAATGTTATCATATTTTGTCAATTTGTATTGGTTTAATTCATTTTGGACATATACATCTGAATTATAGCAAAACACATGTAATAAAAATAATAGTGCAGTGGCTGGCTCTGCACTGATGCCTAGATACTGTGCACTGCACCCTCATGCCCTCAGCTGTTCGCCCAGAGCCCACACAAGTTTCATCTCGGCTTCAAAGGCAGATGCACAATAGCCACAGAAACTTGCCCTTTATTCAGACAGTGGCTTCTTTTCAGGGAGACATACTTTTATCTCCGGAAACATCTTTTTTTTCTATGAGGATGACTCACTTTTCATGTCTCGCCTCCACCACCCCCTCCCTTATTTTTTTTGTACTACACACGTTCTGTGGGAAGTCCTGCAGAAGCAGCCTCGGGAAGTGTGTCTATGTCTGATAGAGCTGGGGCGGATCGCAGCCAGGTAAACAAAGCACTTTCAATCATGCATAAAACAACTATATAGGGTAGGGCAGGGCGATATGGCAATAACAATCAAATTGTGATCTCATTCTTTTGATAATTTTCTAGTTTGATGATATTGTCAGATGGTGATTCAGCAACTCTCTATTTAGTGAACTTTTTCATCACCTACTTCTTCTATTGATCATCCTCTTTCAGGCTCTCAATGAATGACAGTTGGCTTGAACTAATTACAATGAAGAATGAACTCAGAAGCAGCATACTGTTCATATCAATCTAATTAATTTGTGGTCTGGTGTTGAGAAAATTGTGATCTTATTTATTTACTGCACATCACCAACCACTAATATAGAGTCAGAATGAATTATGTGTTTGACATTGGCATTATAAAGCTGCTATTATTTTCCCAAAACTTACAGGTATGGTGTAGAGCCTCCAGGTTTGGTGAAGTTGGAGAGGGAGATTGAGAGGGAGGAGGCTGGCCTGTCGCCATTGTCCCCGTTGTCTTTTTTCCCCTCTCCTTCTTTCAGTCCATCCCCAGCTCCATCACCTCCACCCATCCCCCCACCTTCTCCACCCCCTGCCCCCCTGTCTCCCCCCATCACAAGCCCACCTGAACCTGCTCCGGCCCCCAAACCTGAAAGCCCACCCCCTCCTGCTCCCCCTCTTCCATCTCACAGTCCTGCTACTACCTCTAGTGCAACACAAACTCCCGTCTTTATCCCTCTGGGCACCACGACCACACCTGTTCCACCACTGCCTCCATGTCAGATTCCAGTGCCCGCTGCCAGAGTCTCTGCACTGATTATCCAGTCGCCCTTAGCAATGCCCTCTGTCACCCCATCCATGGCCCCGCGGTCCGCCAACAAATCTACAAAAAGACGGAACACCAACGCAAACACCAACACGCTTTTGGATGATATTGTATGAGCACTGAATACGCTGAATTAATATTATACACGAAAATGTACTTTATCGACTTTTTGTTTTTTAACTTTTAGGTTCAAAATATTGTGAAGAATGCTCCCTGCACGTGTCCCACCAGGTTTCCTGTTGACAAGCAGCCAAAAGGTTGTTATCGTATTGGGGAAAAAGTTCTGTATATCCGTGTAAGTATCTTCACTTTGTAAAGCAGTCACAAACTCCTGCCCTCATTCTGCTAATAGACCATTTCTCCTAATGTAATTATACTTCTGCTGGATATATGAGATATTGCGAGAAACAAAATAAAATCAGGTTGTTATTAGTTGAAGCAGCAACAAGTGCCCTGATCTGAGCCGTATGGGATGCTGCCTCTCCCGAGTCGTGCACCACCCATATGTGAGGTACAAAGGCTCGAGAAATGGCCATCTGGGAGGCTGAGTTGCTTGGCAACCAATGGACAGGATAAGACCATGCTCACAATGATTTTATTCAGTGCTGAGACCTTCAACTCTGAGTTCAGACCTGATTGCAAAACAAACATGTCAATATAAAGATGGTTTTCATAAAGATAAGAGTGCTGGAAATGCCAGCTCCTCTGGGTTTGGAACCATTTCAAGATGAGAAGCGTTCGATGTGGAAACCCTTCTATATAATAGTACATATTACATTGTGCAACTTAACATGATGATTAGTTACTTGTTAGTCACAAAGATGTCTATTAGATAAGTGGCTACTAGTTGTATCCATTGAATGTCTTGTAAATCGTATTGAAAAAAACAGTTGAACGAGCTCACTAGAAATCAATGTGTCAATGTCAGTTAGCTGGGACACAGTGGCAGCTCCATTCACCTGACTGACAGACATCTTATTTTAGGGGTGTTTTAGGGTCAAACAACATCTGCTTCTGCAGAGGTAACTGGTACAGTACAAGGGAGGGCATGTCTGAACATAACAGAAGGAACACCCAAAGCCAAGATCATGTGTAAAACATGTTAATTTCAGTCATACAAAACTGTAAAAGTAGGCATCGCATTTATATTCTATTTTAAATATCTGGCTTTTCTTAAATACATTTTATGTTGTGCAAAAGTTACAATACCACTATTATGCCAAAGCTCATTGTATATTTCAGCAGCTACACTCTACCTCTACTTTACACAAACCTTTGAATGTTGTGGAATTCCCCATATTAAACTATGCATAAATCCATCTTTACCTTGTTGCACACACTTACCTGCATGCATGAAAGGCAATATGGCATGAACCTCAATTACCATGCTGCATGATTAGTATGTGTCGCTCCGAGCCAAGGGAAATGTGTGCAAACCTTTGTAAAGAGCAGATACTATTGATTACACAGAAGTCATTAGCCAGGGCTTTTTAATAAGACAGCTTGTTAATGAGTGACCCAAGCATGACAACCTGACCACCCCTCCCCTTCTGTCTCTCAGTCTCCCCCATTTCCAGTGGAGACTATTCAGTCCTGCCAGCTCTGGAGTGCACCTCAATTCTTTGTGTAAAAAAAGGGGAAGGCTTTTCTTTCTTCTCATGCTCAATTAGGCTCTCTTCTGGTATTGAATGAGGAGTCTGGCTATGTCAATAGATGGAAATACATTAGACAGCCCTAAAATGGCATTCATCAGATACATTTGAAAATAGAAAATGTTCATATTATTGACAATAGTAGCAGATCTTAATGCTATCATGTTACATATGTTTTACAATGGAAGTTTATTATGTCCTAATGAGATAAACATGCTCTGAACTTCATCAGTCTGGGCTGCTTGAACTTATAAGACTTATTATATGTAACATTCAAAGAGAATATAGTACATTACATGAATTGAGGGCTGAATAAAATTGTTAAGACATGTAAATTACCTCTAAGAAAAAACAGTTGCCACAACTCAAACCTAGAAATGTATACACAAATGTATGTTTTCCAATAAAAGTGTTAACATGATTCTGTAACCTTTGTACAAGTACAATGTAAACCCAGTGTAACACTAGAGGGTACATGTTTCCACTGTCTATTCCCAGTGGGTCTAAATAATCTGTTTTACTGTTATGCTGCTGTTTTCTTATTACGGCGTGCTTTTCAGACTGTACTGTTAAATCACTGATGGCTGCGGCTAAACTCTGCCCCCTACTGGCAGTTGCTGAAACTGCCTCGTCTCCCCTTATAGTACATTCATGTATTTTTCAAACAGAAACTAGAGCTGAAATCAATTGGAGCTCTGGGGGGACACTGGGGAATCCAGACATTGGTTTACAGGCTGCAGACGTAGGACAGTCCGATGGAGACATGCTCCAGGGAGGGGCTGCTCACAAATACAGCAGTCTGGAGGAAGATTGCTCAACAAGATTACTGCACTCTACAAACAGGATTTTATTCACAGTAAATGCTCCCTCTGAATTATCCCAGTGTGGATGGTTCAACCTGCTCCTGCAGGCACAAACCACCATTGTGTCCTCGAGCAAGACACTTATCCTACCATGTCTCCAATGTCTATGTACATTGGTATATGCATGTGTGAGCAATGTAAGGACTTTGAGTGCCCACTGGAGCTGGAGTTACAGAAACTCAAGATTTTTTGTTACCTATAATTGCCTAAAAATGTATAAATAAGATGACCACTCTCATCTGAGCTCTATACTACCATTAGCCAATAGCACTGAGGCATTTGAAGGCGTATATAAATGTACACATTTTGTAAATCCTCTGGGATTTTTTCACAGTGAAATGTGAAATTAATATTCAGTGCACGTCTGACAGGCGACTGGTGTATCAGGGATGTCCGTGTTGACCCCTGCCCACCTTAACATTTTAATCTGCCCGATGACAGCTGAGATGGGGTTTCCTCTTTTGTCACTGACTGTGAGTGATTTACCCCCTCCCTGTCCTGCATCCCGTGCACATGGCACCTCTGCTATATTCTTGTATTATCACTTTCTTAATGGCTCTTTAATGAAGGGTTTATGGAGATAAAGCTGGAAAAGGAGGCGTGGCCGGCGCTGACAGGGGCAACCACAAGCTTAGCAATGCCCTCTGGGAATTCTGATGTCCATTGGGAGCTGCTGAACTCATCTCAATTTCAGGCTTTCATATTGTTGTTGCCATGGCAGCAGTAGGGTTTTCCTTTGTGAAGAAATATTGCATGAATATTTGTTGATGTGTAGCTGCAGACATGCACTACTGCTGACTACTGTTACCAGATAAACATTGAGGGTTTAGTATTTTAAAGTGGTGCTTATATGGGCCTTTGTATGTGAATAATTGAGGTCTTTGTCATCTAATGTAGGCTGCGTTAGTGTCTCTGTTCACGTGAGAGCTTGATGTGTGCTCAGCTGGTGCCGTGAGGTGTTGTTTCATTTGCTTTAATGAGATTTTGACAAAGCTTTCCAAGAAACCACTTGCCGTTCACTGCTAGCACTGAGGCAGGAGGATCTTACATGAATATTACATGAATGTGTAGTGGGAGCAAATAGTACTAGATGTACTGTAGCAATATGCATGAGGCTGAAAAACAAACAGACTATCTATACGATTTAATCAACTGTTTTTACAGTGAAGTACATCAAAGGATAGCTTTAAATGTTTTAATGCCCCATAATCACTGTCCATGCAGCTTTTTTCATTGAAATCTCAATCAGTTATACTTTGGTTTTATGTACTACAGGCTAACAAAAAACAACCTATGAAAACATATTTATAGTTGTAGATAGAAATGTAAAGTTATACTGCCACTGTAATTTATTATTTATTATTATTAACACTGAAATAATAACTAGACACTACAAACATCACTACCCCCATTACCCCTTGAGGGTGTTTTTAAACTTGCCCTGGTTTGGTCCTGGTTTGAACTAAGTTTATTCTTGATGTAGATGTGGTTTGGCCCTGTTCTTGTCCTAGTCTAGTCAAGGTTTAGTTCTAGCTTCAGTCAGTTCAGTTCAGCCAAGTATCTTAAATTAGTAACATTATGCACTTTAATGGTAGTATATTACACAATATTGACTCTTTAACTCACGTTACCTCATCAAAATCATATCTGGTGTTTTGTTTTGTTTCCTTCACACATGTTTGAGTAATCCTTTATAATAGTAATCTATTATATAACTATGGTGTCAGAGCCACATTATGAAAAGTTAGATAGTGCACCTTTAAGATCTCTTTATTTTGTCCTTCACAGATGCTGAATGAGCGCCATGTGATGGTGCGGGTTGGAGGAGGCTGGGAAACCTTTTTGAGTTACTTGCAGAAACACGACCCCTGCAGAGGAGCACTGAGTAGGTCAGAGGTCAGAGTGTGTCGGGACAGGGTCAAAACAGCGCCCCTACAGATGTCTCCAGACAGCTACATGGTGGTAGGAGCCCATTACCGAAATAAGAAGTAGGGGCAGATATAAGGCCCTCTTTTCCACAGGTGCTGGATCAGATTGTAGTTATATAGAGTGAGATTTAGAGAAAAGATACTATTTTATTACCTCAACTTTGTATTTTTGTACTGAAAATGCTATCCCCTGAAAAGTTGTCTTTATACTGTATATTCTGAATTTTAATTTTCACATGTTATTCTTAGCCAGATATTGTATCTATTATGTAGTCATTTCTTTTAGTTTTTTTATATGTACATTTCTGGGTAGCTGTAAGTACAGATGTACCCATATGGTAATGGTATCAAATATCAGTGCCGATATTGAACATTTTCATGGATCAGATATCAGCTTCCAAGATATCGGTTCAGCCGATAACCCATTTTGGTCTACAAACTGGTGTAATAAGGCAATGTACTGGCCTATGATGGCAGAAAACTTCTCATAATAATAAATTTGTTAACAAAGATGTTCTGAAGTTACTTTAAATGATAAATAACAGTTTGTATTTAAAGGAAAAATATATATATATTTTCAGTCTCTGCCCTAGTACCAGCTGATATTTGCAGATACTTAAAGCCAAGTATCGACATTGGTATCGGTATCGGAACAAAAACAAAAAAACAAAAAAAAAGGCTGGATCGGTGCATCCCAATTTATAATCCAAATACATTTTTGCAGAGATTATTAATTAACTGATGCTCCTGCAAGTGACAATATGTAACTATATTATTTTAAAATATATAATGTCTTTTAATTTTTGCCTGCATGAATGGTGAGTACATGCTTGAACAACTCAATGTCTGTCCTCTAGGTGGCACTGTGGGCTCAGGGACTAAATTCTAGTGAATCTAGTGAAGCAGTCACGTTTTTGTTATGACACATTTTAAATAGATTTTGACCACAGCTGATCAAGAGAATGATTAAACACACAATGTTAACAAATAAAACATTACCAAACAATAATAATTAGATATTTTATTTCAATAAAATAAATTAATTAAAAATTGACACAGGTTTTAATATACAGAAAGGAACTAATTGTAATGAGATCATGCAAGACTTCACCATCTCTGTAGTCCCCAAATACTGCCTGCACTGGTCTGGTACAAATAAGTTAGAAAATAGTTGTGCTACTAAAACAGGAGCCACTTTGAATCGTGACACAATTAGCAGTAGGTCGTTTCGCAATACATTTCTCAGATTCTGAAATTTCAGGAAGTTTGTTTTTAGACCTGATTACCAATTACTTAAATGAAAAACTGCAGACTGCATCTTTTGATACTGTGTGCTACTATTTTTTATCTTTAAGCATGATTTACCAATAATGTTCATTTGTGCTGTATTATGCATTCACTGTCTTGCCTTTTAATTGTAACTGGGACATGTGTGTTTTATTATCTTTTGTCAATACATCTTTGTAGTTTGTATCTGAAAAAAAATGTCAGATTAAAAAAAAAAAATACACAAAAACACTGACCTGTGCAATTGTGCTTTAAGTCTCAACAACACATTTTACTTGCACAATGTACTTTTACTTACAGTTTACTTCTTAGAGTAATACTTCTATTACTGTTAATCAGTTTTGAGTGTGAACTTAAAACTTTATAAAAACCAAAACACCAAACAGCATTGCATTATGTGAAATGTCGGACATCTGAAAAATACAGCGACTCAAGCGTCCATGTGAAGTGACCATAGATATAAAACAATGTTATTTCTATGGCAGCTGTATTTTCATTTATGTCCATATAACTGGCATAATATCATCACACTAAGAGCATGAACTGACTGACCCTAAACGCACAAGATTATTAAACCCAAACTCTTTTGTAAACGTCACAAATAGTGTGCTTATGACATGCTCTGCTCCTCTCCCCTCTCCACATGTGGCTTTTAGATTTTTTTAATACATTACTGGCGCTCAGATTTAATTTTAGACCAAGTAAAGTGCCATGGTCCAACAAGACACAGAAGAAACTGCTTTAAATCATGCCTCCATTGTTATTCTCTTATCTATGAGGAGCCTCATTTAATGACTTGTCTACAAATGTTATCAACCTCTGATCAAATGACTCATCAACAGTCTGCTAACGTCACTGCATAAATAAAACCCTTTTATCATTTTAAACACATTAAAAATAAATTTCACATTATTTCCTGTCCTATTCAGCTCATTCAGTTGTGCTTTGCATTGAACATCAGTAGTTTCTGTTAAATCCATATTTAACCATTCGACAAATCATAGTCGCTTCAGTATATTTTGCGATGTAAACACAAGACGATATAAAAGTTCATTTCCATTATTACTGGAAAGTTTTTTTCTTTTTGTTTAGCCATTTTACTCCTGTAGTGGCAACTTTTTATGATGCCAAATTGCAGACAGAGCCCTGCATGTTTAAGTTTTTAAGTATACTGATTGCTAATAAACACCTGGACACATGCTACAAGCTGAACCTAGCCTAACTATAACAAAACTGAGTGAGCGCATTAAGCCGTTTGATCAAACTTCTGTCTTTGCCTCTTTGCCTCTGACACAGTGGAGAGGCTGATAGTGACTCTGTGCAGGTAAAGGTTTGGATGTGGCTTGTGCTTTCATTTTAAGTGGGCACATCAACAGTTAATACTATTATTACTATGTTTCTGAAGTTGTTTGTAGTTCTGAGGTATTCACTGAGGCTTTCCCACAGAGCAGTCCACATGTGTTTGAGTCAGATTGAGGCAGTCCTGGCTCTGTCTGAGCAGTGGCTCTCCTGGTAGTAACTGAATGCCTTCTGTTCATTTGGTTCAAAAATATCTTGAGATTTGTGGATCCTAGACTGGCACTATAACACTGTCATAAAGTCTCTTTCCATTGCACACTCACACACACACACTCTTACTCAAAGTCTACTATACACGAACATTGATGTGGTCTACATGAAGATGTGTCTGTACATACTGAGGCCTGTCCACTCTAATCCTCCCAGTGCTCTGCTGTGGCTGCACACATTCACCCATATCTATGTATGCTACACTAAAGAGAAGCAATGGCCAGTGCCACACAATTTTTTCATTATGAACAGTAACACAGCACACAGCACTTGACTGAGAGAGGAATGCTGACAGAAAGCTTTGGCCTGCTCACATCTCTGGTTCAGAGGATTACTCCCTGATCCTCCATAGAATAGTGGTGTGTATGTTTATATATGCAGTGTGTGCATGTGTATGTGGCATATGAAATACAGCACCATTTTAAGACATACTCTGCAGAGCAGACAGTTACCATGTCCATTGCAGTCTTGTGCTATGACAGCCCTGTCCCAGTGGGTCAGAGCTCCTCTGTCAGGCACACTGAGCACTGAGGGATGAGGTGGTGCAGACAGTGATGAGACACTTGAGTTACACGTTGGGGGTCCGGGTGGAGTTTGTGCGTTCAGGGGTCAGTCACTGCACCGCCCTGTCACACGGTGCCGTTCTCCTGCCTTGGCTTATGGGGCGTTGTGCGAGCGGGCGTGCTTAGAGAGGGGGCCAAGGTACAGAGGAAGCCAGCCAGCAACGTGAGGCCCAGACCCCCCCAGGCACAAAACATGGACCAGCCATAGCCATGGCTTATGTCTTCGGGAAGGCCATACATGTAGCGGGGGTAGCGCGACAACTCAAAGTTGATTCCTGCCACGCATGTGCAGAGGGAGATGATACAGCATGTTCCTGTGAGCAGACAGCAGTGATTCAGACAGCATCCGTACCATTAATTATGTATGTGCTGAGTGCACATCGTGAGGCATATGAATAGTAGATGGGGTCGTTTCCACTAATGGGAAGCCCCCAATTAAATGAATCATGTATATTGATATTTCAGACCACAGTATCATGCTGTTGTGTTTGTCCCTTTTTAAGACCATTAAAGACCCCAGACTGAGGTATACTATACTATAAACATGTTTTTAACCAGTTTTCTATATTAAACACTAAAATCACATGGTTAATAATGCACACTTCTACAAATCTGACAAATAAGGCAAATTTCCAAAATCAGGTGAACACACAAACCTTGTCAGGAATTAAGTGTCATGTTGCAATATTACGTCTACTGTACATGAACCACAGCCGTGATTGTAGAATGTGCTGCTGTATTTTCAGCTGGGCACCACTATTTGTTTTAGCCATAGAATCTGGCAACACAATGCATGGGGCTATGGGGCTTGTTTGACTTTGTGACTGGATTATAGACACAAAACAACAAGGTCCACATGAACAACTTAAACATCATATTAGTGTGAGTAAACCAAACATTATGAAATTGTTTGAACTAGGCCTGTCGTGATAATAAATTTTGAAGTTCGACATATTGCTGAAGTAAATATAGAAGACAAACTGTAATATTTAAACTAATTCATGCCACTGACACAACAACCCAGGAGTAGATTTAAACCACAAAATCTATTCTAAATCTACAATATTGTTAAAAAATAAATAAATAGCAGAAAGAAAAAAATACCAACGATAAATATTGCCTTTAAAATATATTGTTCCAGCTGTCATATATTGAACGATAAGTTAATAATAGATATTATAGTAACAGGCCTATTTGAACAGGTTAACCTCACATCTGACGGCGAGGACACACATTTCTGTAAAGTTAAAGATACTGGGATAAAATGATCTATGTACACTACCTTAAAGTATGTGTGTGAGTGTTTTTCTGTGTGATTACCTCCCATGAGAAAGAGTAGCCCAGCTACATATTGCATGAGGTCATGCTGTTGGCAACAGCCTAGCACTCCGATGATCCAGCCGAACAGGATGATGGACACAGCCATGCCCACGAAGCCCGCGGTCATCCTCCTCAGGTCTGCGCACAGGACCATATCGTCACAGCTCAACATGGAATTACTCAACATGCACTCAACACAGATATCCAACAATGTATCCTGCTTTTTATCTTGTACCTGTAGTTTAGACCTCTGCAAACATGTACTGAAATGCATGGGATTTTTGTCTTTTCTAGTTTGTTTAGTCTTTTCTCAAATGTTAATGCTTGTTGAAATGTTTAACAATGTGCACTCAGAAGAGAATCCTATTTTTTAAACATA